CAAATAAACACGACGACGTACGCGAACAATAACTAACCACTGTTACTGTTTGCGATCGATTGCAGGTTCGATAAGAGTGATCAATGACCGACGCGCTGTTGTCATGTGTGTTTTAAATATTTAATTTAATGAAACTAACTTACCGACTACAAATTTTGGCTTAACTTAGAAAAACTTAATGCCATTTATTTGTTAATTACCCAATTTACAAACGTTTTAGATTAGATTATAAAAATTAGTAAGTTTGTGGTGATTGTGGTCGATATAAAGCACTTGAAGTTGTAAACTATAAAGCCATTTAGACAAAAATCTATTGACTTTTGGACCATGGGTCATATGATCTTTTTGACTTGTTTTGACCCCCCTATTACCCATTTCAATAATGACTACCACAAAGTTTACAACCTGTATTTCTCATAATTGATGATGGTTCCGTCATTAGTGGATGAATTTTCAAAAAATAACTTCTAGACATACTTCAAACATCGAGATGAGTCAAAGATTTTTGGATAGAGAAATGGCGCGCATAGGAAGGACTGATCGAAGGAAATGTGTGACGTATTATATTGAATCACATTATAAACGGGATACGGAAATAAAAAAATAAAAATCGCATTGTAGACTGCACAATTTGCGAGCTCCTAAAAATGCAACCGTTGCGTCTTTCCTTGCAGACGGTCGACCCATAAAAGCCATAAAACTTATTTACGAGCGCTCTTTTTACGAATCCTTAATTAGCCATTAATATTTAGCAGCCTGGGCTTTCTTTTTATCACTGTTGCATTTTTGTCTTGCCTGCAGCCTTTCGCATTCGATTCATTGTAGAACTATATTTAGATAATCATTCGAAGGACGATTTTAAATTGCAGAATAAATTGGCATTTGACCAATTAATCATTCAATCAATTTTCTAATCCAGAAGTGGATCATGAGCCACCAGGAAATGCATGAATGCACAAAGTATCCGAAATTATAGTTGAAGATATTGAAATCTGATAAAGGACGATGGAATATGACCCTTAGTTTTTAGTGTGGAGGTAGTCATAAGGAACTGGTATTTTACCTTCATATAAATGCAGTTTATATAGTTTATCTTTTCCAGCGAAAGCAGTCTGTGTTTGACATTTCGCATTAAAATCGTATTTTTATTCGAAAACATGGGTTTCCATACAATCCTAGTGTTCCAGACAATTGCCGAAAATACTGACGGTATTTATGGATTCCAAAAGCAGTTCAAGATGAATACAAGCAGACATTTTATCGGTATTGCATATTTGGAATACTTTGTCAATTTTAGTGTGACTTTATGTATCACACTTGGTATCTAAAACAAAGCGTTTAGCCGCAATCCATTTTTTCAAAAAGTAGAGGCAAGGGAACTTTGAACCGATGTCCGCAATGCCGCTGAGCCTTTTAGTCTTATTGTGCCTCACTCAGCGTAATTTACAGTACCAAGAGAAATCTTGGATTATGGACCAACTGGTACAGTTTCCTAACAAGTTACCGCGTCTTGTGACCCTAGAGCACATGAAATGTCGACCTTGCTCCTCTTCCGCATTGACTGCAATTAAGATCTCCATCACACAGCCATACTTTGAATAGACAATCTTTCAGGCTATCCATCCAACCGTTTTCAGAAGCGGTTCCGAGATGAAATCTATCTCCGGTAGCCGAGTTCGAATATTCTACTGCCTTGCCAATTATATGACTATCTCTTTATTGTGCTTTTAGTAATCCAGACAGATTCTGGATTATGGGATAGATCATTCCTTTCTTGCAAGCTCACGTATCCCTTCATTATCTTCGGTCCCTGAATGTCCGGACATCCTTACCAAAGTGTTTCGCCAATACGTACAGTTCATGTCGGCATTCCCAAATCGGTGCGGTTGTCACAAGTCACAAGTATTTCTGATACTATTAGGGTGGATTCTCAACTCACCAGTCCGTTATTCTCCACCTTTAGGGTAACAGTCCGTCAAATACAGCGAATGAGCTTCAAGTTATAATCAACAAATTTTAGCAACCAATAGCTAGGAAATGTTAAAAACAAAATACTGTCAAAGTATGAGATGACAGCTTCTCATTGAAACATCACCAGCCTATTGAATATTAAGAAATTACATACAGTTTAGTCAAAATTTAAAAAAGTTTTCGATGTTTGAGTAAAATTCATGTTTTTACTCAATATTGTCGTTTATATTATTTTCTTCAATCGATATGCGATTTACTAATTCAACATCACCTACCGTGTGTTTTTTCCTATAAATCTCCTGCAGATAGCCATTAAGCGCCTACTTGATGACAGGCTCTACCAAAAATTTCATAGGTATTGCTCGTTTCCAAACATTCATTCATTTACTTGCCGTTCATCAGTAACATTATAGCACCGTCGATTGATATTCCCACAAAACCTTTCAGGGTTTTTGATATCCATACATCCATAAAGTCAAATATTGTTTGATTGTTCAGGAACTGAACAAATATCCACACTATATTTACAGCGATTAAGAAATACTCAAATGTGTCGTAAAGCTACCGGCCAACTTAAAACACGCAAAAAAATAGAATTTGCAATAACTTTCTTGTTTCACTGAGTACGTTATATTTATATTAGACACTATTTGAATAACAGCTGATTATTATATTTTAAAACTTCCCAACGAGTGACACGTGTGGGATCCGTCAACCCTTGGTCCCAGTGGAGCAAGCTGCGCCAACTGTTGAAATATATATATGCTTTATAAGCCTAAAAATGCAAATGAAAATTTAAAATTATTTCCATGACGCCGAAAAATAGCTCCGTTGGTACCTCGGGTTATACATCTTGACAGTAGGGATGTTCGATACGATCCTATATTTAGAAGGACCGATACTTTGCTTCCCATACCCGATATTTTGGATCGATATTTTTATTACGACACTTGGGTGTATCGATACATTTCACGAGTATCGTCATCTTTCGATCCGGACTGTGTCAAAAAGAATGACTAACTTCAGATTACTTTTCGTAAAATAATTTAAATATTTCTATACTTGCCGAAAAGGAGCTGAAACCAAAAACTAAAGCTAAAAGTCTTCATAGTTTTATGCCTCATATCAATCATACATATGCATACACACTCAGGCACATCGGGCACATGAGAGGCGTAGATTTGGGTTGCCTATGATTACGAACGCACATCCTCATCCCTTACTCCGCTTGCCCTGAATTGATTTTTGTGCATACAAAAGGTACAGACTGGTAGATGACCGTCATTAGCTCACCACCGCACAAGCAATAAAGAAACCGAAACCTGTCTGTTTTCAAAATAAATATTAATTAAAATGAGAAGTGAGTTCATGAGTTCAGGGGCAAAACAGAAAAATATTCACAAGCCTATAAGCAAGAATCGAAAAATGAGTTTCCAGAAGGGTTGCAAAGTACTTTGAAGGAGCTACCAGTATGCACATTGTAGAAGTAGTAATATAGAACTCTGTCCTCAAAAAACATGTTGTGTGCGCGTCACATACAATAACAGACGTTTTTCATGACTCAAAGGTCCTTGATCTACCACTGATCTTGGACGGCATTTACCTTATACCGAATTCAACGACACTATTTACCGATTCCGTTTTTTGCCGGTTCGGCAACACTGCAGATGTGTTTAAAAGCAATTTATATCACAGACGTGCTATTATATTAGAAATAACAAGAAAATTTAACAATGTTTGGAGATATATTTTTCATAAATAGATATTTTTGATTCTGACTTATAATATCCAGACGATGAATAATAGGTGGATGCGGATACTTTTACAAATATCGATGTTTTAGAACCCAGAAATGCAGAATGTGCTGTTTGTTTGTTTACATTTGGTGTGGATTTCTAGATCTTAAATTGGCAAAAATTGTTGTTGATGTAACAAAAGATGATGAACCAGTTGGAATACGTTTTATATCATTTTCTTTTGCAAAATTACAAAAATCGGTACATGTATACATGTACGTATTATATACAACACTCTGTACGTGATATACAGACAAAACTAGATTGCCATGCATGAACTGTCATCAAAAACAGTGAAAACATCCTACTAAATATAATAGCTAGAAAATCGAACTATTATTTCTCTATTTTCATTGGTCCATTTAAATAACTGACTGTCTTTTGTGAAATGATAAGAATTTGAAATTCTATGAAAGTTATCCTAATTCTAAAGCACAAAGACATAATATTACATCTATAATGTACCCTATTTATAAGGCAACCGTATTTTCACGACTTTATTCAACATTTCAATAGAAATCACTGATATTCAGAGAGCTTTGACAGCTTCCGTAAAATTGCATTTCGTTAAGGTCTTTTCCTATTGGTCCAACTGATCTCAAATATTAATGTTGGTGAAATTGGCCCGAAATCTGTTTTTTCCATATTACGCATACCTGGCTTTTTCTAATTTTTCAATCATATACATTAATGAACTTTTGTTGTTTTCTATTTCTCTAAAATTTTAAACAAAAGAGCCGTTTATCTAGTTATTGAACACACATTCCCTTTAACTCTAAGATTCTCAATTTCCCTTCTACGGAAGACGGTTCAGTATTGGAATCCAATCCGAGTTAGTTACCGATTATCCAACTGTGTTTTGTGTGTCGATTTTTTCTAATATCCAAAAACAATTAAAAAAAGTCGAATTTCTGCCAAAAAAACTACTAAACTACATCCAAAAATAAGTGTTTACACTCGCCTAAGATAATGACAGTAAATTATATATGCGTAATCTCAATGGATGAGTGGATACCAGTCTACCAGTTATTTTGTCATTAAGCTTCCGTATTTATGAAAGATCGATATTATATTTATAGTTATCAGTATCAATGATGATCTAATAAGTAATTATAGAATAGGGGAAACTTGTCATTATAATAATAATAATGAAAGAAATTGCATTAATAGTTTATCACATTTAAGAAAAAAAAATGTCTGCTTGGGTTTAGCATTAAAATCCTATGGTTAGTGTTAATGAGAAGCTTTATTCATTTATTATAATTATAAAAAATATAGGTAATTTAAAAATTGAAGTTAATTTTAAATTTTCTTCATCTGCAGAATCGTCACTCAAAAACATTTCTGGGTCATAAATCGGTTCATCATCTGAAAAAAAAATCAAACATAACTGATTCTATGACAACGCATGCGACAAAACGAAGTAAGAAAATACAAACCTTCGTTATTAGCGCTGTTTTCTGGAGTTTGGCCAGTTTTAATTGCTTCCAAAACCGTTTGTGGCAAACCATTTAAATTCATACTTTTCATCTCTTATAGTCCAACGTGTCTTCCAGGCAACAAAAATATTGGAGTTTTCAGATGTGCGTTACGCCAGATACTTGTTATGTGTTGCGTCCGCAAAAGATGTTTGTGAAGTTCAGCCTTAGGCGGCGTCCTAATTGGCAGCGATCGTACGATGGCGCGATGCGTTCTCGTCGTGCGACGAGTTCAAACATACAGATATCTTCAAGAGTGTCCTATTTGGCACATGAAATGCTTAATAACGATCGTACGATGAGTTTGATCGTGCGATCATGAATATCCCCGCGCGAACACAGCAACGCGAGTGGTACGGGGGGCACGGGACGAGAGGGGCGAGGAGGGCCCAACACTAGTGGTGTTGGTTATCGTTACTTTCGAGTACTCGTTACTAATCGTTACTCTTCTACAAAGTAATCGTTTATTGTATTCGTTACTTTGATTACCATGAGTAGTATGTGTATAACGATTTGGCAATGTGCGTCGTGTGATTAATGTCGAATTTAAGCAAGTTGAATGGAACCGAATCTTGTAAGAAAATAGACGACCTTAAAATTTGCAAAATGTTATAAGCATAGTTTATTCAAGACTATCGTGTTTAATGCAAACATTGTATCTTCAAACTGTATGCTTCTCGAGATGAGTTATCATAGGATGGAGTGTCATATGACTCATATGAGCCTACAAACTGAAAATACTTTGTATTTACCAGAAATACTTAAAAACATGCATTTTGGACAGAAAGATGATCAGTATATGGGCTTAAGGAAATTCGAAATGGCATGTGACTTTTCGAAGCATTTCAATTAAGCATAATATACCAGTATAAAAATTCTACGTTGAGCTTGGTCTACACATACTACTGGTGGTCATACTGAATTATATTTTTTTTAGCAAAACAGTGCATGGAAACACGAGTCAAATTGACATAACTTTTATTATTGTGGTTTAGCTGAACGGTGGTGTAACCTTGTTGTGGCTTTTCTGCCTCATAATACTGCCGAACTTTGATCCGATCCAATCGAGTACTTATTCCTTTTCAGGTTCCCAAGATCACAACAATAAAAGCGAATTTGTGTCACGGTGTAAATAGGTAAACTTCAGATTTAAAAACAATTACCAAATTCTATGTTCGCCAATAAAAAAAAATTTGTTTCCAGGTTTCCATCTGAATGTGGAATGTCTGGCAACCCTGGTGCATGAGCGGCAGTGCTACAGTCTAACCAGCGTTACCACTCAACGATCAACGATTGTACAGGTACCGGGTAGGGATACGGAAAACAGAGTAATCAAAGTAATCATTTCGTGCTCGGATTGGTACTCGTTACTTCGGGTATCTATGAGTAACGAGTACTCGAGTTTCGCATGATTACTTTTTCAACACCACTACCCAACACCAGTGACACACAGCACTCGACTCGCTCGCGGCCGGACGGCATTTTCGCATTTTGTGTTTCCATTGTTTGTGTGAAGCGTTTGGCTATTCTATTACATACAAGATGACATTCGAAGAAGATTTAATTAACCAAGTACGTTTACATCCTGTTGTTTGGAATAAGAAGAGTGAGGACTATAAAAACAGGTTGAAAAGTGAAAAAGCATGGGATATAATTGCGAGGAACGTAAATAAAACAAGTAAGTAGATAGTAATGTAAGCTTAGTTTTAATCGGAACCAGAGTTAATAGCGAGAGGTATAAAACAATATAGAGACATTAATTAAGATTCATGTCTGAAAATAAGTGGTGAATAGTTCTCTAGCGTTAATTGCTGTTAGTGTAGCACGATTATTAACTCTATTACGTGGAAGTCTTTCAAAATTGTAATTGAATTGATTTGTTGTCATAGATCAGTGCGGTTCTCTTGCATCTCTGTGTATTACAATATTGTGCGACAGACAGACAGCCTTCACAATTTTAATTGCATTATCAATAGATGTTTCGATGCTTTTTAAAAGAATTCTAAATTTACTAGCAGTGATTCCAAAGGTACATTCTATCCCTACCTTTGTAGTAGACAATTTGTAATTAAATCTTGATTTATCTGCATTCTCTGTTGCTTGTTGTCTTGGATAAGGCCTCATTAAGAATGTTTTCAGAGGAAAAGCCTCGTCCCCTAAAAATACGTATGGTGCCACAATATTACTATTAGGTAATCGTTCCTCAGGTGGTAATTGAATATTTCCACTGTTAAGTTCTTGAAAAAAATGAGAATTGCTGGGAACGCCTCTATCACTATCTTTCCCGTATGCACCTACGTCAATGATGCGAAATGTATTATCTGAATCGGAGACCGCTAATAAAACAATTGAGTAATATTGTTTGTAGTTAAAATACATGCTTCCAGAAAGTTGTGGCTTCACGACACGAATGTGTTTTCCGTCCAGATTTCCACAGCAATGTGGGTACTTGGAAATTTCATGTGTGTTTTGTTAAAATTATTCCAAATTGCACTGCAAACCTCCATCACGATACTTGCAATTGCGGTTTTTGAAATGCGAAATAGCACTGCTAACTTCCGAAAAGTTAAGTACCTGTAATTTATAACACGTTTAATTAAAAAATATTGTTTTTTATTACAGAAAAAAAAGTTAAAACTAGGTGGCGACACTTAAGGGACGTCTTTCTAAAAGAATTGAAGAAAGTTCGTAAACCATGCTCTGGAGATCTAGGAAGCCCAAATGAACAGGATTACTCGGGAAAGTGGACCTATTACCAAAATGTTATTTTTAAAAGATGTTTCAATGCCTTGACTAACCGAATGTAATAGTGTTCATCAAGAAACTGGAAATAATGATAATGATGCCAGCCTACCAACCACTTCAAGATCAGAGCAGAATCTTCAGTGGCCTGATGAAGAAAATTCTACTGCATTGTCTAATAGATCCGATTTTGTAACTTCTGATGAGGAACCACTGTCTACTAGTGCTTCGTCAATACACAGAGATCGGGATATTTGTCCACAGAAGCTTTGGATAGTGTATCATAAACTGGGTCTCAACAAAGAAAACGCAAAGAAAATGATCCAAATCGAAGAAGACAAAATTAAAGTGTTTAAAGAGAAAGACAAAGAAGCTGAGGATGAAGATATCCTATTTTTGAAATCGCTTGCTCCATATTTTAAATATTTGAATCCAGTACAAAAATTAAGATTAAAAAGTAAATTACAGAATACAATAGCAAACGAAATTTCTCTAGCTATGCCATCGCCCCCTTCCAACTCTTCAGCTACTATGTCAATGTCAATCATACCCCACCAGTGCACGCTCTAGCTATGCCATCACCCCCTTCCAACTCTTCAATGCCAATCATACCTCCCCAGTGCACGCATCCTCATCATTGACATCACCGACACAGGCCCAGCAATTCTACGAAACATGTATCGATGAGGAAAACTACACTAACTACTAAACTAGAATTTAAAATGCGACGTAATTTTGCTGGCATAAGTAGTGCTTTATGTACTCTGTTGCGCATTAAACCGACGTAATTACTACGTACAGAACGAAATGTACAAAATAAATATAATGAATACATATTTTTTTGTGTTTCATTTAAAAATATAAGACTATTTAGATTAAATCGGCCTACGTAACACATATAATATAATATAATAATATAAATAAAAAACTTACCTGATTGTTAATACCAATCTTTCTTCCACACTAATGGGTTTTTTGAAGTTGGTCACTCCTTTATTGCAATCGCTACGTATTCCATTGCAGATGTAGTCAAATGTTTCTTTTGACATGAACAAATAATTGTAAAAGTCTTCTTCGTTATTTCGTACATCAAAATAATGGTTGAAAAATTCACCGCGCAGATTCCTGGATCTATACAGTGTACTATGTGGTCTACGTTTCTTTTTTGCAATGTCATTTGCAATCTTCAAATCAATATTGCCCGACAGCAAAAACTATGCCTCTCTGTAAAGAGCCATTATTAAAATGGCATGTGATGGTGCGATACCATCGTGCGACATCGCGCGATTTATTAGGACACCTGTTGGGTCATCGCACGACCACTTTGATCGTTCGACGAAAAACGCATCGCGCGATCGTACGATCGCTGCCAATTAGGACGCCGCCTTACACGATGGTAAATTAGACGCGTCATACGAGTACTTCAGCAGAGTTTGCTGAAAAGGTTCATCGGTACTCTTCTACTTATAGGGTAAATGCGGGAGAGATGCCGCGGCAGGTGGTTATAATTTCCCATAGGCTCGAGAGATGGAGCTGTTGCCGCAATATGTGGTAGATGATTACTGCAAAGTGACCGGTAATTTGTAGTTTGTGATTTGTGCCATCGAAGCGATAGTCGACAAAATATCTGAGATTTTAAGAACCGTAAGTACACAATACGTGGTAAATATTTTAAGCATGATTTGGTTTAGGTGTATTACAAATCTTACACGTAGCATCTTGTGCCGTCATGGGTTTTGTTAGGACTGTAGCTCAGTATGGAGGTTGCTGTGTAAAAGTTAGGTTAATTTCGTTAACACTTCTAACAGACGTCTATCCCCACAAAAAGGATAGTCGTCGCTTTTGTTATCGGGAGAGAAGCCGTATTCGTTATCACTTGACTTTTGCACTTCTGACGCTTTTAATGAAAAAAATGTTACAATAACAATTGAAAAAAATGAAAAAAGCTTTAATGTGGGAAAAGTGTAACAATAATAATAAGATTGTAGTGAAAACATCGCGTTTCAAATTCTTTCGCTTTTTTGTTTCCGATGCGATGAACCGATAAGGCGGATTATATCCGTTGTTGCCCTGTATACAGGGTTATCCAAATTAAGTGTCCACCATTAGTAACTTTGTTATTAGTGAAAATACAAAGTTGTTTGAATTAGCAAACTAGTAGCATTTTCAACGCTGGTAAAAATGAGAAATAAAAAAAAACAATTGAGAGTCGTTATTTTGATTTTTTTCAGTAAAATAACATTTTTTTAAATGGAAACCCCTGTATATTATATTTTTTTCTGTTAAAGCATCAAATTTTAAACAAAAAAGCTTACAATAACTTTTCTCCTAGGTTACAAATTGTTGAAGTTATGGCCTCCAATCTGAAACAATTAAATTGTATCGACAAACTTTATTTTCAACATCAACTTATAATCTTACAAAATACAATAACAATTTTTTTTAAAGAAGATGCTCGAAAACACCACCTTGTTCTTCAATACATTTTTGGGCACGTTTTTCAACTGCTCGAACTGTCTTAAGTATGGTCCTACCATCTATCTGGGTTATCTTTTCCCTAACTGCAGTCTTTAACGCGTCAAGGTTATCGTACCTTCGCTTGTAAATTTGGTTCTTTAAGTAACCCCACAAGAAGTAATCAAGTGGGTTTAGATCTGGTGATCTGGGAGGCCACTGTATTGGGCCATTTGTTCCTATCCACTGATCATTAAAAGTAGTACTTAGAAAATGATAAGTACCTCTGGAGTTGTGGGCAGGTGCATCTTGCTGAAAATGCAGATGATGTCTACTTATAAGATCCAATTCGTCTAAGAAATTAGTCAGAATTTCTGACATAAAATCCACATATCTTTCACCAGTTAGGGCTCCCTCATAAAAGAACGGGCCAACAATTTTTGAACCAATTATACCGCACCAAACGTTGAAACTGAAACGGACTTGTGGGCCTCTTGGATGTACTAACAAAAGATTTTCTCTTGACCAATAATGGTGTTTTTTTCTATTAAACATTCCAGAATTTGAAAAATTTGATTCATCTGTCCATAAAAGGTAACGAAAGTTATTTACATTTTGGCGACAGAAGCTAAGATACCAATGGCAAAAACAAGTCTTCTCTCTGGATCCCCTGCCAAAAGCGTTTGAACTGGTCGGTACTTATACGGAATAAATTTGTATTTTTTTAAAATCCTTTGAACAGTACCATAACTGAAATTAGAGTCCTTGAGAATATCTGCTATTGAATTCTCACGATAAGCTTCAAAATATCCAATAACTGCAATTTCCGTGGCCTCGCTTATTATGAATTCTTTTTTTGCCCTTGTTTTAGCAAAAACATTTTCGTTGCCCCTAAATTTTCGATAAAGTCTCAGAAAATATCGTTCATACGGTTGAATGCGAGCGGGATATAATTCACTGTAGTATTCTCAGGCTCTGAAGGAGGATTTTCTTCACACTAAATAGCATTCTAACATATCACACTTTTCTTCATGGGAGAACATTTTTCTTTAAATTAATGACACAATAAAGCTTATAAACAAGTATTTACACTAATGTTTGACATTATTTGATTTTATCATTGTTTTCCAAAGCCTTCTAGTTGCGAGTATGTCCAGTTTAACAATTTGTCGCTTATCTTAATGCTGTCAAATCGCGAACGCCATGCTGTTTTCATAGCCGTCTTAATATTATAATACTGCAAATAATTAAAAATATTTATCGTTATTTTGACTTTATTTTTGACTTTAGCGGAAAAGTCATTATGAACTTTTTTGTTTAAAATTTGATGCTTTAACAGAAAAAAATATAATATACAGGGGTTTCCATTTAAAAAAATGTTATTTTACTGAAAAAAATCAAAATAACGACTCTCTATTGTTTTTTTTATTTCTCATTTTACCAGCGTTAAAAATGCTACTAGTTTGCTAATTTAAACAACTTTGTATTTTTACTAATAACAAAGTTACCAATGGCGGACACTTAATTTGGATAACCCTGTATATACAGGGTGACTTCGAAGTTGAGTCATTTATTTTAACAGTGAGTAGATCTGATCAAAAGAAATATTTTTTTCCTTTACCATTTTTCTGGTAAAATTAAAGTAACAAAGTTATAGCCCTTTGGAAGTTTGAGTACCGCCCTGTCTCAATAATAATATTATATGTTCGTGTTTGGCGACAACGGATATAATCCGCCTGACCGGTTCATCGCATCGGAAACAAAAAAGCGAAAGAATTTGAAACGTTTATCACGATGTTTTTCGTCAGTCGATAACGCGTTAGTGAATAGTAGTGTTTGTTGCGTGGCTCAAACGAAATCAAAAATGGCACATGTTTACGAAAATGCTGAACTTGTGGACATGATTCTTATTTACGGGGGGCAGTCTTTACAAAATGCTCCCGGATGCATCACGGATTTATGCGAATCGGTTTCCCAATCGAGTGCAACCAACCCCTCGTGCCTTTGTTAATGTAGTACAAAGGGCTCGTGAATCAGGTGACTTAAGACCTCACAGGTCAGGGCATGCTGCTCCAAGACCGCACGATCAAATACAGGTCCGCACTGAAATACTTGTCGGGACGATACTTTATTAAACAAGGTAACATTTTTTTTTATTTATTTTTTTATTTTTACACACATATTTTGATTTATCTTCCTTCTACAATCATTATCTGAAAATTAATGACTCAACTTCAAAAAGTATGAAAATAATGGGCAAAATCCGCAAGAACGGGGATATATATGTATATATATATATATACAGGGTACGGCAGAGAGGATGGACGGTTTAAAAAAAATCATAAAATAGTTAATTTTTACTAGAAAACAAATTTATTGATGGAATCAGGTTCACAAGGAAATAGCATTTAAGATAGTCAAGTGTGGAAAATCACATCAGGCATGTGGCCGAAATCGTTGTTGCAGTGCTGGAGGCGATCTTGGAAGTTCGCGTAGACTCTCTCCAACATCCCTCTCTCAACTTGGGCGACTTACACGCGAATTTCGCCCTTCAATTCGTCTAGAGTTCGGGGCTTGTTCGCGTATACTCTAGCCTTGAGGTGTCCCCATAAGAAAAAATCGCATATGGATAAATCTGGAGAACGAGGAGGCCAATGAACATCGCCAAACCTGGAAATATGGCGACCAGGGAAGAGAGGGCGAATAACGCCCATGGATGCTCGAGCTGTGTGGGCGGTCGCCCCATCCTGCTGGAACCACACACGTCGGATTGGAACACGTCGCCGTCGTAATTCAGGGAGAAAGAAGTTGGTGATCATGTCGACGTAGCGCTCTGAGTTCACGGTAACATCACGACAATTACTTTCTTCGAAGAAGTAAGGGCCAATGATGCAAGTTTGCGATACAGCGCTCCAAACCGTTACTTTTGGGCTGTGTGGCGGTCTTTCGCGTAACTGTTGCGGATTTTCATTAGCCCAATAACGACAATTCTGCTGGTTAACCATGCTGTTTAGGTGAAAGTGGGCTTCGTCACTCATAAACAAAATGAGGTTCTCATTTTGATCGATCAGTGCTTCCATCTCACGTGCGAAGTTCATTCGTTGTGCATAATCTCC